TGTAGTACTATCCCCTTAGGAGATGCTGAAAATTTGGGTCCCCCTATAGTCCTGCACAGCCAGGCATCACTTATTTCCTGATTCAGACTTGCATTGGGAAACAGAAACCAGTCCTTGAGATTGTTTTGAAGTTTTCTTATTTTGAATTTTGTTTTTGTTTTGAACATGGATAGGGTAAGGGATGTATGGGATGTCCAATGAAATGGCTACTGAGGACAAACTCCCTGAAACTATAGTACAAGTGTTTACAAAGAAATCCTCTTATGGAGAGCTAGCCAGCATCTCCCAATGTACCTCTCCAACCCCAGATGCTCCTCAGTCCAGCTGTATGGGGGAATCTCTGGACAGGGGATCCAGTAGTAACAACTAGATAGTCCCAGCTGTAGAGGGAGTTAGGTTTCCCACCCAAATGCTCTCTCCTCTTTCTGGCCCAGGGGGTGTAGGTGTATTCACTGAGTCCTTCTCCTGTGCTGCTGTTGGGTCGGTGTCTGCTACCAGGCCTTTAAGCTGGACCGCTCCTTCCCTGCCAAGACCTTCCTCCAAAGATCTAGAGCAGGGGGAAATTCCAGAGGGGCTGGGCTGCAGAGTCTCTCAGCCTTACCCAAATTTAACCTCCTGACTATCACACCCAGGCTGCTACTCAGCCCTCCTTTCTGACTCCTAGCTAACTAGGAAGGTGCTACAACTAGTTGGGGGAGAGGGAATGTCACATCCTCAGCTCTGAGGGGTTCGTGCTGGGACCTCTAGGGACTGTCCCAACATGAAGCTCTGAGATCAAAGGATGCAACCTCCTCCTCCCATTCCTCTGTGGATGTCATCTTCTTGCAGCAGCTCAGCTGCCAATCCTTCTGTATGGATCTCTGCCCAACTCATGGCATGTGTTCAATCCCTGGCGCTCAGCTTCACCTCAGACTGAGACTTTCAAGTGCAGTTCCCTTCCCTCTTGAGTAGGGGGCCACTGCCACATAGGCTGGAGGAGGTGGGTGGAGCTAAGCACTAGGAGGAAGAGGAGGAAGTTACATCCTCCTCCGACCTCCACGCTGAATGCAGGGGCCTGCATTAGGTGACTTCACTGGTTGCTTGACACTAGGCGGTCCTAGCAATCAGGCAGTGGGCAGTAGCGGTCCACACAGAAGCGGAAAGGGACACTAATACTGTGAGTGAAACGGCGCTGTGGTGGCCTTTTTTGGGGGGGCATCAGCATGGCCTAGGGGGCAATTGCCAGCCTGCCCCCCTGACCCAGTCCGCCCCTGCCTCTGCCCCCCCTCCTTGTCCCAGCCCAGGGAAAACCAGTGGCTACGCCCTAGGTGGCCACCTAGTTTGCCTAGTGGTAGTGCTGGCCTGGCTCTACCCATCTTGATGAGATAACCTCTCACTTCCTATTGTGTCATAGTGATAGGAAATGAAGAGAAATATCCTTGATAGAACACGGTTAGCAATAAATAGGTATTGGATGGTCCTAACCATTCCCTTCTTTATCCAAAATGAAAAAAACCAAATGTTTTGACTTTAGAGCTGTAGACGCAGGGTGGATATATAAAAACATTAAATTATCTCTTGAATACCTTTGATTTGCAGTAGAATAATATAGAACCACTGTCTGTGCCACAGATGTATCTCACTTTTCTCAAAATGTATTGATTTGACCAGTAATATAGAAACCTCCCTTAAAAAGGTTTGCAAAGTAATAGTGTTGTGCACAGACTATCTAATCTAGTTTTTGTTCAGTGAACACAAGCTATATATGGGGAATGGGCCCTTGATATATAAAATTACTTCCTGTGATCTCGTATCAAATCCCCCTGGCATTTCAAACTAGAGGTTTCAAGTGAGTGGATTTTGCCTTCATGTGTTAGTGATACAAGTAAGAAAGCAAAGCTTTACCCCCTGAGATTTCTGAATATGTCAGCCACAGGATAACCAATGCCCTCTGTTTCCCTATGCCCTATGTGGTCATATTTATTTATCACACCTTTACTGACCGCAATCTGTCAATGGTCCTTGGATGCAACCCAAAATGGAGTAGTATCCTTTTATACATCTTTTCATCTAAATTCTTTTATTTTTTAATTCAACAAAACCTATTTTGTCTGGGTACATACAAATATAAGCAGGTTTATCAGATTGGTTATTGGACCTCCCTCTCTCACAAAATACCCTTTCCACTTTGAAAAATTTAACTCTTCCAGTTGCTTCTCCAGGACAGAAAGTACAGGCAAATGTTCTCAACAAGATGCAAACCTACGGAGGTTTCCTACTGTATCCAAAAATAAAATCAAACATTATGGCTATGTATACATTTTAACTTGCCTGTTTTAGATGATGATAACCAGCAAGATTGGATTATATTTAACAACTTTTGATTGCCTGTGATTCATTTTGCTAACTATATGCAGTACAGCCTGATTATACGACGGCCTTTACATCAAACGATAACTTTGTAGCGTTACAGCTTGCCTGCTTGGATACTAATTGGATGGATGGTTTAGAAAACATACATACGGTACATATATTATACATACTACATTATAATATACAGTTTTCATAAATCTTAAGACAATTATTGTGCAATTGTTAGATAAAAGATCGTTTGAGTTATGAGCCAGTTTAAAGGGAACCTGTGCTGAATAATTATAGAGGTTGCTGCACTACTTCTTAAAATTCCTTTTAAGTACTTTGGTAGCTGTTGGCATTGCTTTGGGTTCTATTGGTGGACAGTATTAAATTTTGGGCATTGCTTTGTGTTACATTGGTTAGGCTGTATTAAATCATGGACATTGCTTTGTGTTCTATTGATTAGGCAATATTAAATCTTGGGCACTGCTTTGGGTTCTATTGGTATGCAGTATTAGATCTTGAGCGTTACTTTGGGTTCTACTGATGGGCAAAATTAAATCTTGGGCATTGCTTTGTCTTATGTTGATTAGGCAGTATTAAATCTTGAGCATTTCTTTTCATTCTTTTGTTTAGGCAGTATTAAATCTTGAGCATTGCTTTGTGTTCTGTTGGTGGGCAGTCTAAATCTTGGGTATTGCTTTGTGCTCTATTAGAAGGCAGTATTAAATCACTGTAGTATTAAAGCACTGCTTAGGTTCTATTGTATAGGCAGTATTAAATATCAAGCATTGATTTGATTCTACTGGGGGGCAGTATTAAATCTTAGGTATTGCTTTGGATTCTATTGATGGAAAATATTAAATGTTGAGCATTGCTTTGTGTTCTATTGGTTAGGCAGTATTAAATCTTGGGCGTTGCTTTGTGTTCTATTGGTTAGACAGTATTACATTTTAGTCATTGCTTTGGATGCTATTGGTTAGGCAGTATTAAATCTTGGGCATTGCTTTGGGTTCTGTTCTTTAGGCAGTAATATATCTTGGGCATTGTTTTGTGTTCTATTCTTAGGCAGTATTAAATCTTGGGCATTACTTTGGGTTCTCTTACTAGGTAGTATAAAATACTGGACATTGCTTTGGGTTCTGTTGGTTAGGTTAGTATTACATCTTGAGCACTGCTTTTGCGTTCTGTTCGTGGGCAGTATTAAAGCTTGAGCATTGCTTTGGGTTCCATTGGTGGGCATGATTAGAACTTGGGTATTGCTTTGTGCTCTATTAGAAGGCAGTATTAAATTTTGAGCATTGGTTTGAGTTCTATTGGTAAGGCAGTAATAAATCTTGCAGAATTGTTGAAAAGTTTGCATGTTTGTCAGAAGTTAGAAAATTTATGCTACCCCTGCCAGACAGTTATATAAAGTGCTTCAACTTTTTCAAACTATGGTATTGGTAAAAACAGATGTAGATGGGCTCATATTCATCATTATTTGCAGTGTTGGCTGTTTATACTGAGGACTGGCGATTTCCAAGGGCCTCATTATAATAGATTCTGTAACAAACGAGGACGTGTGGCTAGCCATCGGCTGAATACAGATTGATTATCTAGAGTGGAATTGCTTTTAAAATTATTTGTTGCGTTTTGGGCCATTTTTACCTCTGTACTGAGAGTGTTATTAAAGCCTTTGGACGGTGCTGACTCTGCAGTAGTAGCCAATAGAAATAGATTTGCGTCTTGTGTATGTTTGTGTCTGTTTTTTGTCAGATTTACCCAATTAATCAGATTCAGACTTTGTAGGAATTTGTCTTGATTCACAAATATCCATTCACTCCATTTTTTTCATCAGCTCAGAGAGCTTAATAAAGCCCAACTGAACTTTCAACTTAAATAAGCTAAATACATTTTAGGTGCATCAAAATTTATGGTGTGTAAAGTTTGTGTAACTTTAGGCCACAGCCTGAGTGGAAAAGCCTGTCCCCTGCCAGCATCCTGGAACCTGTGTGTGGAAGTAGTGGTCTCTCTACAAAGATCTGACATACCTCCTGCTAAGTCCAAGTTGGACCTCACCAATCAGCAAGGATCATGAGCTTTGTCGATTGCAGAGATATAGGTCTGATGTTTCGAACCTTTGTAGAGAGGCCGCTGCTTCTTCACAGAGAACAAGAGTGTAGTGTGTTAGCAGGGGAAAGGATTTTCTACTCAAGTTATAGCTTACACATGTTTTGTTTGATGCAACTGGAATGTATTTAGCTGATTGAAACTTAATGTTGGGTTGGGATTAACATAAATATGTTAGATTAGTGAATTAGGGGGTGAATGAATACTTTTGAGTCAAGATTGAGCTCCACAATATCTAGCCTAGGGTGCATGCATGCTAAAAGAATCTTTTGGGTGCATCCTTTTGATATGGCTCTATATCAAGAGAGCTGGCATAGGGCATAGAATGAAAAATGAACTGAAGGGACCTTTGATGAACCCATTGTAGCTTTCAAAGGACAGCAAGAGATGATTTGCTTGAAAGGGGCACTTATGTTGCATCTAGAGTTATGTCCTGTATAACACTATTACCTCGTGTATGATTTGCAGCCAGTTGAGGTTTCTTTTGTTGCTAATTTTACTGTTCTTATAACACACAACTGTTATCACTTTGTCACCATTTCTTTCTTCTTTTTGCAGCATTCTGCCAGGAAGTGCAAGCTGAGAACGTCACAGTAGTAGAGGGAGGCACTGCCGAGATTACCTGCAAGTTACATCAGTATGATGGCTCCATCGTGGTGATCCAGAACCCTGCCAGGCAAACCCTCTTCTTCAATGGCACCCGTGGTGAGTGTTGTCTTGTTGTTCCAGGTAGCCATATTATTATTCCTGTATCAAACAATCTGATGCATCTTTTTCCTTTTTTTCTAGCCTGTGGTAGAGAATGCAGAAGATTTTCTACCCTGATATGGCCAAGTGTTGTTTTTATTTGTACAGCAAAAAATAAATGTCTTGCCTATACAGAAAAACAGTGCAAAGGGCAGTGATAGAATGCAGAGAGCAGTAACCTGCAGTAGTCAATCATTATTCACCATTTCTTTTTGACCATAGGAATGTGGTTGCCATGTACTGCTGCACTGTGTATGTCACCAAAGATCAATGCACTGCTTTGTGAATTTTAAATTGATGAAGGCTGACTAATAAGGAACAGGAAAAAAGTCAGCTGCAGAAATAGGAAGAGATAGCCTGGCTTCCGCACACACCTCACCCGGCCCAAGTGGTTAGCAGGTAAAAGTAGCTAACTGAGCGGACTGGGCGACGTGTGTGACAGTCGGGTTATCTCTTCCTATTTCTGCAGCATGCTTTGGGTCTGGACAGACCTTTCCTCAGCTTGCACCGTCACTAGTCTGCAGCATTAAGCATTTATTGTGGGTCACGGGGAACAAAATCTGAAAAGTGTCTGGTTATGGACTTGGCAATTTTCCAGATGTATGAAAAAACCTTCTCTAAAGTCAACCTTAACCAAAAAATTATTTATAGTCCAGGACAGTTATAGCCTAATAGATACAGTTAGGTCCATATATATTTTGGACACAGGCACAATTTTAGTTTTTTTTCAGGTATTTACCAAAACATATTTAAGCTATAATTATATAATGGATATAGGCTGAAAGTGCACACTCTCAGGTTTATTTTGAGGGTGTGTACATCCAAATTAGAGGAAGGGTTTAGGAATTACAGCTCTTAAGATTAGCCATCCCCCTTTTTCAAGGGACCAAAAGTAATTGGACAATTGAATCAAAAGCTGTTTCATGGCCAGGTGTGGGCTACTCCTTCGTTATTTCTTCATCAATTAAGTAGGTAAAAGGTCTGGAGTTGATTCTAAGTGTGGTATTTGCATTTGGAATCTAATGCTGTGAACCTACATCATGCGTTCAAAGGAGTTGTCCATGCAAGTGAAATAGGCCATTGTAAGGCTTCAAAAACTAAACAAATCCATCAGAGAGATGACAGCAACATTAGGAGTGGCCAAATCAACAGTTTTGTACATTCTGAGGAAAGAAGAATGCACTGGTGAGATCAGCAACATAAAAAGGTTTTGGACGTCCACAGAAGACAACATTGGTAGATGATTGCAGGATCCTCTCTATGGTAAAGAAAAACCCATTCAAAACATCCAGACAAGTGAAGGACACTCTGCGGGAGGTGGGCTTATCATTGTCAAAATCTACAATCAAGAGAAGACTTCACGAGAGCAAATACAGAGGGTTCACCACAATGTGCAAACCATTCATAAGCCTGAAGAATAGAAAAGTCGGATTAGACTTTGCCAAAAATATATCTAAAAAAGCCAGACCAGTTCTGGAAAAGCATTCATAGAAAGGGATGAAACAAAGATTAATCTGTACCAGAATGACGGGAAGAATAAAGTGTGGAGAAGGCTTGGAACAACTCATGGACCAAAGCACACAATGTCATCTGTAAAACATGGTTAAGCCAGTGTGATTGAATGAGCATGCATGGTTTTCTGTGGCACTGGATCATTGGTGTTTATTGATGATGTGACAGAAGACAGAAGCAGCCGGATGAATTCTGCAGTGTTTAGAGATATACTGTCAGCCCAGATTCAGCCAAATGCAGCAAAGTTGATTGGACGGCGCATCACAGTATAGATGGACAATATTCCAAAACACACTGCAAAAGCAACCCAGGAGCCTTTGAAGGAAAAGAAGTGGAATATTCTGCAATGGCCGAGTCAATCACCTGATCTCAACCCAGAGCATGCATTTCACTTGTTGAAGGCAAAGCTAAAGGCAGAAAGACCCACAAACAAAGAACAACTGAAGACAGATGCAGTTAGAGCCTGGCAAAGCATCAGAAAGGAGGAAACCCAGTCTTTGGTAATGTCCATGGGTTCCAGACTTTAGGCAGTCATTGCCAGTAAAGGATTCTCAACAAAATATCAAAAAACATTTTATTTATGATTATATTCATTTGTCCAGTTACTTTTGGTCCCTTTAAAAAAGGGGAATGGCTACCGGAAAAAAACTAAAATTCCCCGTGTCCAAATTTATATGGACTTAACTGTATCTGATAACGTCTGAAGCATTGCCAATGGCTAAAATCATACAAGTCCTATTAAAGCCCAACTGGACTTTCAGCTTATATCTACTTAATACATTCCAGGCACATTAAACAAAAGGTGAAAAGTCTACAGTTTTCTTTGGAGAGCAGCCACAGCCTGGTACCTGCCAGTATTCTCTGTGTGGAGTGTAGAGGTGGCACGTCTCCTGATGAATCAGAATTCCACTCTTTTGGAAAGGCTTTCCATAGGATATTGAAATTTGTGTAGGGAAATTTGTGCCCATCTACCAAAATTTTGTGAGGTCAAGTACTGATGCTGGGACAAGACGACCTTGCTCACACCTGCATTCCAATATATCCCAAAGGTGTTCAGAGCAGTTTAGGTCAGGGCTGTGTGCAGGACTTTTGAAATTTACACCAAACTCATCAAATCATGGTCTATATGGAGCTGGCTTTGTACACAAGAGCATTGCCATGCTTGAACAGGAAAGAATCTTCCTCAAAATTTATCTAAAATGACTATGACTGCTGTTGCATTTGTAGCTACCCTTCCTTAAGCAGGAGTGTCTATTTAAATTAAGTATTTGCTAGATCAGCTTTTTTTTCTGGGGTCTGACTGCTGATGGAAATCTCCAGGAAGTTCACTGCCAATGGTGTAAGCTTGGAGAGGGTATAATTATTCAGGAGTGACCTTTTTGAAAGGCAGTCTTCCCAAGGGATGTAGATGACTGCTGAAACCTCTCAGGCCTGCTGCCTCCTAAGGGTGACCATGTGCCTGGATAGAGACCTAGGATTAAGGCCTAGCATGCTGAACAAGAGCGTTTGAGCACCATGGAGAAACGTCTATTTGGGGCACTGGAAAAGTTGGGTGGAAGCTTGGTCCTGAAGTGTGGTAGCCTTTTCCCAAGGAGTCAGTAGCAGAACCAGATAGTGTCTTACAGTCAGGAACTGATTACATGGAATACTGGGTTGGTTGGTTCATCTTCTGTCTGTGAAGACTGTAAGTACTTTTTGTCCCATCTGGAGTCTCCCAAGTCCGTTGTTGTCCTGGGCCCTATCCCTCTCTCCCACGAATGTTGATGGAGAGTCAATAAACTCAATTTCTTGCATCAAGAAGTGACCGACATACTCCTGTTCACATCCTACTCCACTATTGCCTAGGACTAGACTCTGATGTGAAATGATGGCTCACCCTACCTCATAATGTTTATTGGTTGGCAGTGTGCAACACTTTAACAGTACCCTTCATAGTAAACACATAAACCCAGTAATTTGGAGGGGTGGCCATATGTGTAGGTGTGGTGGTCAGGCGTCAACTGACATTTTCCAATGTAATGTAACATTTATTTTGAGAAGAGGAATTTGGTAAGATCTAACTGATATTAATCTGTCATTAACCACAGTGCTAAGTGGTACAATTTGCTACAGCGTAGCGAAACAGACCAACCGCTGTAGTTAGATTTCAGAGAAAACCGCCTTGCAGCAAGTTGGTGGCACTTGCAGAGCATTAATTGTCTGCTTAAATGGCTTTAAAGCTTTATGTATTGTTATAAAAAAAGCTTGCATGAGGTCTGTGTCACTGGGACGCAACAATTCAAATACTCCTTTCTATGTGTGTACCTTTTGTGACAAGGCTTCATCTACCTCGCTCATTAAGGATTTTATAACTGGAGGAAGAAGGAAGAGGAGATGATGGGGAGAGGAGATTGGGGGAAGTTAAACGTTACAGTTAAACATAATGATACCTCCTCCCTCGTGCGATTCAGGCGCTCTGTTCCACTTCTAATTTTATCCAGACATCTGCAGTTTCAATTCAAAGACAGCAAAGGAGGGAAGGAAGGTCTCACTTACGAAGGAAAGCTTCCTCTCTCTATATGATCATTATTACTCATTATCGCTTTCATAGACTGGAGATGGCATGGGGTATTCAGATTGTGTACACATGCATATAATGTGTCCTCAGACAATCCACAACCTTATTTTCCCTTACTATGCTGTTGCTCTCATGTTTTCTTCCATGAAGATTGGAAAATGGAAGGAAGAGTCAACATTTTATAGAAGCAGAAGTTATTTGTATAAGGGTTCCTGTTTGTTGAAGAGCAGTTGTGTAGAAAAGGAAAAATGTGGACAAGGAATTTTAAAGAGGAACTTTGGTTGGCCCCTACTTTTTCATCCCCCCACCTCTTACAGTACCTGGATTGTCCTCAATTCACATACTCATCTGCCAAGCAGAACCAGTGTTGTCGTGCTGTGATCTGCTGAACCCCTGCACAATCCAAATCTTGTGCCACCATCTTTGTGCTGGGCACCTCTTCGTGGTTCAACCAGCTTTCACCCATGATGATGCCTGTGCCATGGTGGAAAGTAAAACCTCCTGGAATATGTGATGTATGGATTCCTGGAGACTTCAAAGCGCTGGGGACAGCAGGATTCAGGCAGCCTTGGCCCCCTGATGACACACACCAGACTGAATGGAAAGTCGAACATCCTGGGATATGTTTTTTCCATATCCCTGGAGGTATCAGAGCTCTCATTCTTGCCTAGGTGAAGAGCACAAACGGGGAATGGGGCAGGTGGCAATAAAAAAAAAAATTGCCATTTTTTTGTATGCAGAGGGGGTGAAGGAACGTAAAGATGTCCAGTGCATTCAGTGTAGGTAAAGGTCCACTTTAAGCTGGAAAACTGTCCCCATCAGCCATAACCCTCATGGATCTCAACCCTCCTCTGTTTTTGGATAGAGGTAGGCTTTAAAGGATTTTTTAGGCTTCATACCTTTAACTTGCACCATACATATAGAACTACCAACTGTGGCCTTTAGACCTCTGAGGTGCTTTCGAAGGATGGATTTTTTTTTTTTTTTAAATGTTTTGCTTTCATGGCTGAAAAAGTTTTATATTCACAGTTGTCCGAAAGCCTTGTCAAGAGGAGTTTACCATCTAACTTGGCTGAAGCACACATGGCTTTATTGTTCAGTAGATTTTGGCATCCTATGAATGGTCTATCTAAGGTCATGTGGATTGTGTGCATCTTTTTTTTTTTTCTATGCATCCTAGCATCCCCCATGTTTCTAATGACCTTATATGTATTGGCTGAGTTTGCCCACTCAAGTAGATTTCTTAATTGCCTGCATAATATTAGCTTTGAAAATCTGCTAATGATTTGACAAGTTGCAAATTGATTTGCTCATTTATAGTCATTGCCATCCATGGAGAGTGCCAAATGGGATCAACTCGTATATCCAGTGTTCAAGCAATGTTCTTATGCAAACGGTTAATATCTGACTGTGTATGTATTTGTCTATAATTTGCAGGCCTGTCTCACATCCATGCTAAACTTAATCTAAAGTCCGCCTGCTGATCTGTACGTGTTTGAGCACCAGTAGGTATGATGGATTTAAGACTCTAGCCAAGGTTCTTATTGGATAAGCTCCATGGACATCCACTCAGGAGTCTTATAAAATATTATAATAGCAACACTTACATTATCTCTTGCTCTCTTTATCCATCATTTTTTTCTTTTCTTGTCGCTTCTCTGCAGCTTTGAGAGACGAGCGGTTTCAGCTTGTGGATTTCACGCCAAAACTGGTCAAGATCCATTTGTCCAATGCCAAGTTGGAGGATGAAGGTGGCTATTTCTGCCAGTTGTACACGGAAGACACGCATCACCAGATTGCCACTCTTACTGTGCTCGGTAAGATCTTGAACTGCTCCCAGGACTGTTCTACGATGAGGACTTTGCTCAGGTGGTACCCTTTAGGGTAGGATCCAGAAAGGAGTTTACCTCACTTATTGGCTCTAGAGTTGCTTTTTGCTGTTATTAAAATTAAATAGGAAAGGGGGTGGGGGGTTTCTGTAAGATAGGGCTGGACAAATTTACTTTGAATCTAGGCACCAGCTAAAATTAGGAGCCAGTTCTTTTTTAGCGTAGCACGATTGTCAGCACCGGGGTAAAGCAACTTTTGGGCGACAAGCGATGCGATTTGCGGCGCAGCAATCACGGCAAAACCACACCATGTTTTAGGTGCCATTGAAAATAATGGCACCTGAACCTGCGTTTTGTGATCACAGCTACTCTACCATGATCCCAAAATACCCAGGTGTGAATGTAGCAGCCCTGGCTTTGCAATTCTAGATGCATTTTCAAACACATAGATTCACATGACAGGCTAGATATTATGTGCTCCTGTTGAGGTGGTTCACACAGATTCGATCCACGCAGTGGTGTATTTAGGTTTCGTGCTGCCCTAGGCAACACACAAATTGGCTCCCCTCCCGACACTGACCAACACCCCCCTCCCCCACGAAGAGAGCCTGACATTGACCACAACACCCCAGCCATCCCCACCCAAGAGAGTCTTCCACTACCACCACCCTCCATACACTGGCAACCCCCACCCCCCAGCAAGACATAAGACAATCTTCACAGCTCTGGACATCCCCGGGAACAAGGGTCAGGCTCTGCATGTACCATCAAGCAGCCTCTCTCAGATCCCACCTGGTCCCCATGCTGTGTGTGTGCCTTCTTCATTTCCTTCTTTCAGGGGACAGCCCTGCCCCCCTAAAAACATTTCTGCTGCCCCCCTGAAAAATGCCGCCCTAGTCAAATGCCTTGTTTGCCTTGTGGTAAATATAGCCCTTGATCCATGTGCATTGTGTTTGAATGTCATTATGAAAAGGGTCCTGTGTGAGTTTGTAGCAATGCGTTCCAGACTCGCAAGTGATAGAGTAGTGTAGCATGCATAGATAAGTGTTTTCATAGAATTGCTATTGACAGGAGTTTTTTGCATTGAAGTCAATGGGAGGCGTTTTTGCATTGAAGTCAATGGGAGGCGTTTTTGCATTGAAGTCAATGGGAGGCGTTTTTGCATTGAAGTCGATGGGAGGCGTTTTTGCATTGAAGTCAATGGGAGGTGTTTTTGCATTGAAGTTGAAGGCGTTCGATGGGAGGTGTTTTTGCATTGAAGTCAATGGGAGGCGTTTTTGCATTGAAGTCAGTGGGAGGTGTTTTTGCACTAAAGCCAATTGGATGAATTTTTGCATTGAAGTCAATGGGACATGATTTTGCATTGAAGTCAGTGGGAGGCAGTATGTGCACCCAGGTGCCAGGATGCAGTTTCTAGTTACCATGGCGACCCGGCGTCTGGGATTTGTCGAATCTTGCAGTAGGAGGTGAACATTTTTAGTACAAGTTGTGAGGTAGTGATTATCAGTAAGAGATGGAGAATTTGAGTAGGAGGTGTGAATGATCAATAGGAGGTGTGAACAATCAGGATGTGAAGATTTTCTCTTGGCTGTGTGAATGATCAATAGGGGTTCAAATGTTAAAATCAAACAAAATGTTGAAGTACTTTTGAAAGACACTTGCCAAGTCGTCGAATGTAGCGAGAATTTTCATATAAATGTTTGTACATTTGTTTGAAAATCTACTAGAGTTATGCCATCTTAAGACACAGCTTTACATATCTCCTTTAGCAAGGAACATACATTCTACATTAATATTTATGCTACCAAAATGAATGTGTGCTGTAAATCGCCTCCAGCATTGTTCCTGTTTCTTCTTGCCAGAGATTTGCCGAAGCCCAGAGCCCCTGAACAGCAGTAAATCTTTAGACTGTAGGCAGGTCGACCTCTACATTTTTGACACAGTGCCGAAAAACAGCAACCTAGCATGTACAGAGCAGGGGGAGACAGTGTATTACTGGATTTTAAACAGTATAGGCTCTTATTTGTAATGTTTTACATCACTATACCTGCAAACAGGGCCAGACTGAAGTGATCAAGCAGGACTTAATTTTCTGACTAAAGTTCCAGTTTAAAGTCATTGTCACCTTCTGCAAAGCAAGAGTTAATGAAGTCTTGTTAGATAAAGCACATACCTTTTGGAGCAGAAAGTAATTAGCATGGCATGTAGCTGTCCTGTTGGTGATTGAAACACTACAGATCCTCAAATTGTGAAATGGATCTACTATCTGTCGATCCTCCTGTGTATCTGAATTGGAGAGAGATCCACACCTTCTTACTGCTGCCGGTTTGCACACCTACTCCCCCTAAGGACAAACGAATGATATAAACGGAAGGTCTTCCGAGTGGTTCCCTCTGTTGTATTTGTGTGATTGGTACTTTTTAAGTGCAAGATCTTTTTTTTTTTTTGAATGAACCTCTGATAGTCACAGTTAACACTTGTTTGTCACAGTTCCTCCGGATAACCCGGTAGTAGAAGTGAAAGAGCAAGCAGTGGAAGGGGGCCAGGTGGAGCTTATCTGCTCAGCGCCCAGAACGAAACCAGAAGCCACACTACGCTGGTACCGAGACCGCAGGGAGCTCAAAGGTAAGAGAATTGCCTTTATATTTTTATTATTTCCATTTTAAGGTTTATGTAATAAATCATACAGCCTTTTATTTACATCTCCTAGATTGTAAGCTCCAAGGAGCAGGGCCCTCCTAACCCTCTTGTATTGAACTGTATTGTTGCTGTATTGTCTCCCTTTATATTGTAAAGCGCTGAGCAAACTGTTGGCGCTATATAAATCCTGTATAATAATAATGATTTGCCTACCTAAATCTACCAGTCACCAAAGGGCATTTATAATTATCTGAATATCCACCCTCAGGGATTAGTGATTATTTGTATGCCCTTCCTGTCCCAGCAGAAGGTTGTAAGGATGGATTAAATCCTGTCTGAAGTCAAGAACCTGGAAGGAACTGTAAATGACAGCTTTACAGCAGCCTAGAGCAGGGGTCTCCAAACCTTTTAAACAAAGGACCAGTTTACTGTCCTTCAGCCTTTAGGGGGGCCAAAATGTGGCCAGTGGGAGTCAAAAATGGTCCATTGTGAATGGGTGAAAAAAAAATTACATAATTTACGTGGTTAGTAGTGGGAGGAATAGAACCCCCATCAGTGGTGTCAGCGGAGGGAATAGTGCCCCATTACTGGTGTCAGTGGGAAGAATAGTGTCCCATCGTTGGTGTCAGTGAAAGTAGTGATGCTTTATCATTGGTACAAGTTGGAGGAATAGTGCCTCATATTAAAGCAGTTGTAAAGGCTCAAGGTTTTTTACCCCTCAATAATTACCTGAGCCTCATCGAGATCCAGCGATATGCACGACAGCCTCTGCTGTCGTGGGTCTCTGCCTCCTCATTGGCTGAGACAGCAAGCAGGAGCCATTGGCTCCCGCTGCTCAAAATCACAGCCAGTCAGCCAATGAGGGTAGAGAGGGGGCGGACACACTGAGCAGTGGGTGCCCCTATAGCAAACTGCTTCCTGTGGGGGCACCCAACAAAAAGGAGGAGCCAGGAGAACCTGCAGGGGACCTGAGAAGTGGGGGATTCAGGCTGCTCTGTGCAAAACCACTGCACACAGCAGTTGAGTATAGACATGCTTGTTATTTTGCCAAAAAAAAATAACCTTTAGAATCACTTTAATGGAAGGAATAGTGCCCCAAGGGTTGGGTAAAGGCAAGCAAAGGGCCACATCTAGCTGACAAGCCACAGTTTTCAGACCTCTGGCCTAGATTGTCACTTATGAGTACTAAGCTCAGGTAGGTAAGTTTCCATGGGGCATTTAAAGGCAGAACAGATACTGCTTTGACTGTGAAAAAATACAACAAAATAACAGTACGGACACCAATACCTGACAACAACCTAACAATAGAGATTCTGAATTTTACAAATGCCCATTTCCAACTGGTTGTAGCTGAAATGCAATTTAAAAAAAAAACATTTAAAGGTTCGTGTGCCATCAGCATAGCAGACACAAAAAACTGCTTAATGTTACTCAAATAGTTTCAAAGGCTGGACCCACGTGACCATTTCCACAAGTCCAATATTGTTTACCTGTGACATACCTATATTCTGAAGCATATACACGTGAAACTCAAAAAATTTGAATATTGTGCTAAAAAGTTCATTTATTTTAGTAATGCAACTTAAAAGGTGAAACTAATATATGAGATAGACTCATTACATGCAAAGCAAGATAGTTCAAGCCGTGATTTGTCATAATTGTGATGATTATAGCTTACAGCTCATGAAAACCCCAAATCCACAATCTCAGAAAATTAGAATATTACATGCAATCAATAAAACAAGGATTGTACATAGAACAATATGGGACCTATGAAAAGTATAAGCATACATATGTACTCAGTACTTGGTTTGGGGCTCTTTTTGCAGCAATTGCTGCCTCAATGCGGCGTGGCATGGAAGCTATCAGCCTGTGGCACTGCTGAGGTGTTATGGAAGACCAGGATGCTTCAATAGCAGCCTTCAGCTTTTCTGCATTGTTCAGTCTCATGTCTCTCATCTTTCTCTCGGCAATGCCCCATAGATTCTCTATGGGGTTCAGGTCAGGCGAGTTTGCTGGCCAATCAAGAACAGTATTCCCACGGTCATTGAACCAGGTTTTGGTGCTTTTGGCAGTGTGGGCAGGTGCCAAGTCCTGCTGGAAAATGAAGTCAGCATCCCCATAAAGCTCGTCTGCGGAAGGAAGCATGAAGTGCTCCAAAATCTCCTGGTAGACGGCTGCGTTGACCCTGGACTTAATGAAGCACAGAGGACCAACACCAGCAGATGACATGGCTCCCCAAATCAACACAGACTGTGGAAACTTCACACTGAACTTCAAGCATTTTGCAGTGTGTGCCTCTCCATTCTTCCTCCATACTCTGGGTCCTTGGTTTCCAAATGACATCCAAAAGTTGATCTCATCAGAAAAGAGGACTTTGGACCACTGAGCAACAGACCAGGTCTGTTTTTCTTTAGCCCAGGTAAGATGCTTCTGACATTGTTTGTTGTTCAGGAGCGGCTTGACAAGAGGAATATAACATTTGAAGCCCATGTCCAGGATCCGTCTGTGTGTGGTGGCTCTTGATGCACTGACTCCAGCCTAAGTCCACTCCTTGTGAAAGTCCCCAACACTTTTGAATTGCCTTTTCCTGACAATCCTCTCCAGGCTGCGGTCGTACCTGCTGCTTGTGTACCTTTTTCTTCCACACTTTTCCCTTCCACATAACTTTCTAATAATGTGCTTTGATACAGCACTTTGGGAACATCCAACTTCTTTTGCAATTACCTTTTGAGGCTTTCCCTCCTTATGGAGGGTGTCAATGATGATTTTCTGCACAACTGTCAGGTCAGCAGTCTTTCCCATGATTGTGATTCCTACTGAACCAGGCTGAGAGACCATTTAAAGGCTCAGGAACCCTTTGCAGGTGTTATGGCTTAATTAGCTGATTAGAGTGGGACACTTTGAGCCGAGAATATTGCACCTTTTCACACTATTCTAATTTTCTGAGATTGTGGATTTGGGGTTTTCATGAGCTGTAAGCCATAAACATCACAATGATGACAAATCGCAGCTTAAACTATCTTGTTTTGCATATAATGAGTCTATCTCATATATTAGTTTCACCTCTTAAGTTGCACTACTGAAATAAATGAACTTTTGCACGATATTCTAATTTTTCGAGTTTCACCTGTATATGGCAAAACGTTCATAGCTAGAGAACAGTCACACCTATATGATTTTTTTTTTTTTAAACTCCCTAGTCTAAAACCACGGGTATTGATATGGAGCTGCCCCCGCCTCCATGGGAATGCTTTCCAGAAGATTTTAGAGTGTGTCTGTGGGTATTTTACCTTATTCCACCAAAATATTATGTTGGACAGAAAGACTTGGCTCACAATCATGATTCTATTTAATTCCACAGATGTTCAGTACAGTTGAGGTCAGGGCTCTGTACAGCTCACATTAGTTCCTCCAAACCAAACTCATCAAACCATATCTTTATAGATCTGGCTTTGGGGCACTGTCATGCTGGAACCGAAAAGAACCTTCTCTAAGCTGTTGTCACATGTCTGGATGTCACGCAACTATCTAAAATGTCTTTACTGTTGCATTAACCGTACACTTCACTGGAACTCAATAATTTGGAGGAGTGTCCACATATGTTTGCTTATATAGTGTAATCCAAAAGATAAATTGACACTCACAGGGATTGAAAGGTGAATACTCAGTAATTAGGTTTATTTGGGCAAAGCACAAGCTTGTCCTAATTGTCCTTGCTCACATATAAACAGATCAGCTGAACACTTATGACCACCAACCTTATATTGAGTAGGCCCCACCAAAACTTTTTTTTGCCACCAAAATAGCCTTGATTCCTTGAGGCACATATGCCATTGGACCCATGAAGGTATGCTGTGGTATCTGGCACCAAGCCATCAGTAACAGATCCTTTTAAGTTCTGTAAGTACAAGGTGGGGCCTCCATGCATCAGACTTGTTTTTCCAGCACATCCCACAGATACCTGATCGGATTGAGATCTGCAGAATTTTGAGACAAGTGAACACCTCAAGCTCATTGTGTTCCTCAAACCATTCTTGAACCATTTTGTAGTGTGGCAGGGTGCATTACTTCCTGAAAGAGGCTACTGCCATCAGGGAATACTGTTTCCATGAAGGTGTGTACTTGGTCAGCAACAAAGTTTGAGTAGGGGGTACGTTGCAAAGTAACATCAACATGATGGACCCAAGTTTCCCAGCAGAACATTGCCTAAAGCATCACACCGGCTTGCCTTCTTCCCATACTGTATCCTGGTACCATCTCTTCCCCAAATAAGCAATGCACACACAACCTGCCATCCACATGATTTAAAAGAAACCGTGATTCATCAGACCAAGCTACCTTCTACCATTGCTCTGTGGTCTGGTTCTGATGCTCACGTGCCCATTGTAGGTGCTTTTGGCTGTGGACACGGGTCAGCATGGGTACCCTGACTGGTGTGCAGCTATGTACCTCCATACACAACAAACTGTGATGCTCATTCTTTCTGCTTTAAACACATCAACTTCAGGGACAACATGTTTACATGCTGCCTAATATATTCCACCGACTTTCAGATGCCATTGTTACGAGATATTCAGTGTTATTCATTCAACCTGTCAGTGGTCATAAAGTTATGGCTAATCTGTGTATAAATTAACCAGCTATTGCACAAGACACAAAATTAGGGAAGCACGTTGTCCTATCCTGTAGAAAGTTTACAATGTTTAACGTTTGTTCACAAGTTTTGTTTACAAGCCTTGACAGTCTTTCCAGGATATGATATCTTGGTTTACCAATGTTTATCTTGTATTATTATTACTTACCTTGAATACCAATTGTGGGAATTCATTTTTTGCACCATTTCGTCCTGGAAACTTTGGCGGTTTTGTCTTTGTTACTTCATGCTGCAAAAAAAACATGGGGATTGTACTGGAGCTCCAGCAACTCGGAACCATATAGCTTCAAAGAGGCCGCGTGAGGATTGTTTGAGGGGGAGACAAACT